AGATCTTATAAATAGTAAATGGAAATATTAGGTCTTGATCTCAGTTCACTGTATTTCCCATTAAACCATAATGCCCCTTCATCTAACTCTTTCTCTCTTTTTTTTTTCCTGGAAAAATAAAGGCACTCCTATTTTAAAATTGAAAAGGTTGTTAGTTTTAAAGGAAAAACAAAACCTTTCTCCTTTTTAAAATTGCATGAACAATAGATCTTCATTACAGAAAAATAAGAAAAAAAACTTTGAAAGGAAAAAAGCGGGAAAAATCTCTGGGTTATCACCTAGAAACAATAACACCTAGAATTAATAACTTGGTGTATTTCCTTTTACACTATTTCCTGTGCAAGTCTGCCCATGTTAATAAATATAAATTTGCTTACAAAAATTGCACCATCTGTACAGACTGCTTTTGTGCACTGCCTTTTGCACTCAATACCTTTAGAACAACTTTTCATGTCAATATTTAAATACCAATAACTATAATTTTGATGACTACATACTATCTCATAGTATAGGTATATTTAATTTGTTTAATTGAACCCCTAAAATGCCAAATTTAAGTTGTTTCCAAATTTCTTCTATTTTATTTTAATTTTTTTAATGTTTATTTATTTTTTTTTAATTTTTTTTTCAACGTTTTTTATTTATTTTTGGGACAGAGAGAGACAGAGCATGAACGGGGGAGGGGCAGAGAGAGAGGGAGACACAGAATCGGAAACAGGCTCCAGGCTCCGAGCCATCAGCCCAGAGCCTGACACGGGGCTCGAACTCACGGACCGCGAGATCATGACCTGGCTGAAGTCGGACGCTTTAACCGACTGCGCCACCCAGGCGCCCCTATTTATTTATTTTCGAGAGTAGAGAGGAGCAGAAAGAGAGAGAAACAGAGAATCCCAAGCAGGCTCTGCACTGACAGTACAGAGCCCAATGCAGGACTTGAACCCATGAACTGTGAGATCATGACCTGAACCAAAATCAAGAGTCAGACACTTAACCAGCTGAGCCACCCAAGCACCCCAGTTGACTCTATTTTAAATAAGTAATGTGAATATTGCCTTAAGAAACATGAGACAAATCTAAATTGAAGAACATTCTAGAAAATAATTGTCTTTACTCTTCAAAAAAAATCAAGGTCAGGAAACATAAATAAAAAAAAGAATTGCTCCAGAAAAAAAAGAGAACAAGCAGTAAATGACTATAAAAGACAAAATTGGATGGCAATAAACTGAACAACCTAGAGGAGATGCATAAATTCCTAGAAATATATAGTCTACCAAACTGAAACAGGAAGAAATTTTTAACAGACTCCTTACCAGAAATGAAATTGAATCAGTAATCAAAAAACTCCCAACAAACAAAAGTCCAGGACTAGACGGCTTCACAGGTGAATTCTACCAAACCATTAAAAAACCTATTAATACCTATTCTTCTCAAACTTTTCCATAAAATAGAAGAGGAAAGAATACTTTCAAATTCATTCTATGAAGCCAGTCATAGAAGTCAGGTATCAAAAACAGATAATTATATCACAAAAAGGAAAACTACAGACCAATATCTTGATGAACATAGATGAAAAAAAATCCTCAACAAAATATTAGCAAAATGTGGGGCGCCTGGGTGGCGCAGTCGGTTAAGCGTCCAACTTCAGCCAGGTCATGATCTCGCGGTCCGTGAGTTCAAGCCCCGCGTCAGGCTCTGGGCTGATGGCTCGGATCCTGGAGCCTGTTTCTGATTCTGTATCTCCCTCTCTCTCTGCCCCTCCCCCGTTCATGCTCTGTCTCTCTCTGTCCCAAAAATAAAAAAAAATAAAAAATAAAAAAATATTAGCAAAATGAATCCAACAATACATTTAAAAAAATCTTTCACCATGATCAAGTAGGATTTATTCCAGGCATGCAAGGGTGGTTCAATATTCACAAATCAATCACCCTGATACATAACATCAATTAAGAGAAAGAATAAAACCGTAAGATCATTTCAATAAATGCAGAGAAAAGCAATTGACAAAGTACAAATTCCATCCATGATAAATACACTCAACAAAGTAGGTTTAGAGGGAACATACCTTAACATAATAAAAGCTTTATATGCAAAACCCACAGAAAACATCATCCTCAATAGAGAAAAACTGAGAGCTTTTCTCCTAAGGTCAAGAACAAGACAAGGATGTCTACTATCACCACTTTTATTCAGCATAGTACTGGAAGTCCTAGCCACAGTAATCAGACAAGAAAAAGGGATAACAGGCATCCAAATTGATAAAGAAGTAAAACTTTCACTATTTGCAGATGACATGATGCTATATATAGAAAACCTTAAAGACTCCACTATAAAACCACTAAAACTGATAAAGGAATTCAGCAAGGTTGTAGGATACAGAATCAATGTGTAGAAATCTGTTGTATTTCTATTCTATATGCTACTAATGAAACAGCAGAAAGAAAAATTAAGAAAGCAATCCCATTTACAATTGCACCAAACATAATAAAATACCTAGGAATAAACTTAATCAAGGAGGTAAAAGACCTGTACTCTGAAAACTACAAAATATTGATCAAAGAAATTGAAGATGACACAAACAACTGGAAAGACATTCCCTGCTCATGGATCAGGGGAACAAATGCTAAAATATCCATACTACCCAAAGCAATCTACAGATTTAATGCAATCCCTATCAAAATACCATCAACATTTTTCACAGAACTAGAACAAACAATCCTAAAACATGTATGGAACCACAAAAGACCCCAAACAGCCAAAGCATTCTTGAAAAAGAAAAGCAAAACTGGAGGTATCACAATTCGAGATTTCAAGTTATATTACAAAGCTGTAGCAATCAAAACAGTTTGGTACTGGCACAAAAATAAACACATAGATCAAGAGAATGGAATAGAGAGTGCATGATTATATAGTCAATTAATCTTCAATAAAGGAGGCAAAAAATAACATGGGAAAAAGACAGCCCCTTCAACAAATGGTGTTGGCAAAACTGGACAGCTACATGCAAAAGAATGAAACTGGACCACTTTCTTACACCATACACAAAAATAAACTCAAAGTGGATTAATGACATAAATGTGAAACCTGAAGCCATAAAAATCCTAGAAGAGAGCACAGGCAGTAATTTCTCTGACATCAGCCATAACAACATCTTTCTAGACATGTCTCCTGAGGCAAGGGAAACAAAAGCAAAAATAAACTATTGGGAATACTTCAAAGTAGAAATCTTCGGTACGGTAAAGGAAACAATCAACAAAACTAAAAGACAACCTACAGAATGGGAGAAGATATTTTCAAATGCCATATCCAATAAAAGATTAGTACCCAAGATATATAAAGAACTTTAATAATTCAACACCAAAAAAGCAAATAATCTAATTAAACAATGGGCAGAAGACATGAACAGACATTTCTCAAAGAATACATACAGATGGCCAAAAGACACATGAAAAGATACTCAATATCACTAATCATCAGGGAAATGCAAATCAAAACCACAA